GGTTTGCGCAGATCAAGTGTATGAAAAAAAAAGTTCACCTAAGGAAATAGAAATAGAAAAAGATAGTAAATAACAGATGTGTTTTAGCTGATCATTAATGTCAATATAAGGATTTTTCTTGCTTTGATCGTTGACTGTCCGATTCAATACTAATGATATTTAAAAGTTACAAAATGTGAATGAATAGGTCTTCTCTTTGCCTACACAAGTCCTTGAATTATACATGAGAAAAATAAATTTATTCTTTCGGAGAAAATTCAAATGATTGAGTTAATTATTTGAAAAATCATTAATAACAAAATAATGATCGTATTGTAGTATTTATATTACTCTATCTTTCATTTGCTAAATGAATAATTGTTTTAGAATATTGATCATCTAAATATTTTTTTTTGGTTTTTACATTTTCAGATGATCGTACAGCTATATATGAAACTCGTTTACAACGAAATTTCGTTGTACAAGTCATATTACAAGATCAACCAATGCCACCAAATGGTGCAATTACAACAACAGGTCATTTAACAACTAATAATTATTCGACACCAGTTGAATATCCAAATTCTTCTTCTATAATTGAACAATTTTAAAAATGCTTCAATTTAGACAACAAATAAATAAATAAATTATATCTGTCCATTTTCATACTACTTTGTACAAACGGATTCTTATATATGTATACATATTATATATTTTTCTTTTGTCTTGTATTCTTCTATAAAAATATTCTCAGTAATAGCATGAGATTTTTTTGTGTTTTTTGCTTTTGCTCATCGAGTTATTATTATTATTATTATTCTAATCATTATTTATCTTTGTATTCATTTGTTGTTTAAACAAAAATGATGAGAATATTATTATGATCAAACCGAGTAAATATCTTTTTATTTTAGATCGATTTAACTTTCTTCTTTTATACAATAATAATAATAATAATGTCTGATCTCTCCGATCTTGATCGTCAATTAGAACAATTACGACGATGTGAATTAATTAAAGAACATGAAGTTAAAATGCTTTGTACAAAAGCAAGAGAAATACTTGTTGAAGAAAGTAATGTTCAATGTGTTGATTCACCTGTTACTATTTGTGGTGATATACATGGACAAATGTTCGATCTACTTGAATTATTTCGAGTTGGAGGTAAAAGAAGAAAATATTTTTCGTAAAAAACGTTCCTCTACATATCAAATCAGTTTTTCTGAACGTGATAACATTTCTCGTATCTTCTATCATGAGATTTTTAAAATATTCTCATGTATAGTATAAAAATAAATGTTGTTCATAGATTAATTTTCATATGATCATAGTTTATTATTGAAAAATCTAGTAAAATTTCGGACAATCAAATTATTCTAGTACTTGATAGAAAAGGCATTCAGTATCTGAACAGATTTTCTTATTACATATATATTGGATTACATTTGTAATGAATATGAAGTTTGAAAATTATAAACAAAGATAAAATATACTTCTAATCATCGAATTTAGTATTAATTCTATTTCTTTCTCTAATACAATTATTTTAGAATGTTCGTTTAAGTTAATCTAATCTATTATTATCAAATATTGAATCACTATAATTATTTATATTAAGTTCTGTAGGTATGCACATGTATATATTTAAATAAAGTTATAATTAAACTCATGATTTTATAAGATAGAATAGATTAACATGTCAGAATGATTGAGCACATTTATTTCTTCGTAAAAAGAATTCCTTCTCGAAATGGTTTTTTAATACGTTTTTTTTGTTTTTATTTTGTTGTCAATCATATCAACATGTTTCATTAAGTTCTATAATATTAATTCCATAAAAGCTACTTCTTATGGTTTAGTTTAACTTCCAATACAATACTTTCTTTACATCATTCATGATACTTTTCTTTTTGGTTCGTAACAAAAAAACTTTGTAAGTCTTCTTATCTAGTTGTTATACACGTAACGGAAATTTCTATTAATGAACTTCTGTTCTCTAATTATATTAGAGTATCATATAAGAATAACTTCTATTTATAAATTTCTTATATAAACCTTTGTCCTTTATTGGAGATAAAAAGAAGAAATACAAGAAACTTTAATTAAAAAATTCATATACATTAATAATAGGATATTATTTTTTTTCTTTTTACTTTGTCGAATAATCATCTTATGAAGAATAAAAAAAAAACACAAATTCAAGTATAATTCAAAAAAATTTGATGAATTATAGTACAGATAATTAATGTGAACTTTTTAGTGCGATGAATAGTAAGGCAAGAATGATTATCTAATAGAAAAGAAAAAAAACGTCGTTTCTTTGTTTATCTTTTTGATTATTCTTTTTCTGTTTTTGATGAATAATTTACTTTCTAAGTCAAGGAACTTAGCATGTGTTCGAGTATAAGGAAAAAATTATTCATTAGCAACATGACTTCACAAAATTAAAATATTTACATTTTAATAGAATGAACTTTTTCTATATAGCTAATTTTTATATATTACATCTACATTAAGCTACTCTACATATTTTGAAGACTATATATGGTATATTCTATAAACTACTCCTGAAGGTATATACAAAACTTTTTCAAAAAAAAAAGATCAATTTAGTTTTTGTTATCGACATGACGAAGTACGAAAAAATGTTTGTTTTTAAGGGAATGATAAGTTCAAAATCAATACCGAACGGTACGAACCAAGATGCAGTAGAAAAGAGAGAGAATTCACATGACGATAATAGAGATACTATATAAGAAATTGATAGTAGGTGTCATCATTAATTGAAGACTCACGGAAGCAGTATAGAAGTAATGGATCTAGTTTCCGGATATATATATATATGCAATAGTATATCTATGATTTGTAGGATTGTATTTGTTAAAAGAGTATCATAAGCAACTAATGACATAATCGGTAGGTAAATAGAGAAGGATAAGTCTTCAGAATGAACGGCATTCCTCCCACTGAAATACGACTTTAGCTCCGTAGTAAAAGATTTCTTTGACTTGTTATCCTCCTAGTAAAAACTTTCGAGCTAATTCACTATCAGAGACATACTGAAGTCATTTACTAGTTGAATTAAAACTGAAACACATACATATGTTAATTAATTAATTAATTAGTTTTAATAAGTAGTCAGATGAAAGAGCACAACATTTTGACATGTTTGTTTCTAAATATGAATTTATTATTGATATAATTTTAGGTGATGTTCCACAAACGAATTATTTATTTTTGGGAGATTTTGTTGATCGTGGTTTCTATAGTGTTGAAACATTTTTACTTTTACTTGCACTTAAAGTACGATATCCTGATCGAATAACTTTAATACGTGGTAATCATGAATCCCGTCAGATTACACAAGTTTATGGTTTTTATGATGAATGTTTACGAAAATATGGTTCTATTATGGTATGGCGATATTGCACAGAAGTATTTGATTATTTAAGTTTATCAGCTGTTATTGATGGAAAAATATTTTGTGTACATGGTGGTCTTAGTCCATCAATAAATACACTCGATCAAATACGACAAATTGATCGAAAAATGGAAGTACCTCATGATGGTCCTATGTGTGATCTTTTATGGTAAAATTTTGTTTACAAAATAAAAATCATAATTTATTTCTTTTGTTTGTTTTTTTTTTATAGGTCTGATCCTGAAGAAACACTTGGTTGGGGTGTAAGTCCACGTGGTGCTGGATTTTTATTTGGTAGTGATGTTGTATCACAATTTAATCAAACAAATAATATTGATTTAATTTGTCGTGCACATCAACTTGTTATGGAAGGTTATAAATGGCATTTTAATGAAACAGTTTTAACTGTATGGTCGGCACCAAATTATTGTTATCGTTGTGGAAATGTTGCTGCTATACTTGAACTTGATGAACATCTTAATCGTAGTTTTACAATATTTGAAGCTGCACCACAAGATCAACGTTCAGCAGCAACAAAACGTGTTGTACCCGATTATTTTCTTTGAAATAATAACAATTTATGATAATCTAAATGTATGTGATTATGAGTGTATCTTTTTTTTGAATGTCTTTTTTTTCTGTCCCGTATGATCGGCTGTTCTCATTTGAACAAAACAAAAAAATTAACGACACTAAGAGTATGTTAATATAAATGTTTCGTTTTGTTGTTTTTCTTGTCTGTAATTTTCATCATTGAATTATTATACATTCGAAGATAAAGTGAATGTCAGAATTTCTACATATTAATTGATGTTTTATTTCTCATGAGAATAACAAAATAGAATAGACTGATTTTAGAACATTATCTTCGCTTTCGAACTGTAACGTTAAAAATATAACAGGAAGTTGGGCAAAAACATCTTTTTTTTTTCTTTTTCCATATTTCTAATCAATTCTCAGCTAGTAACTTAACTTCCCCATATGTCTATAGATCTTTTTTTTTTTATAATAGAAATCCTTTTCTTTCCTATATGCTAAAATATATGTTAGTAAAATCAGCACATGTTTAGAAAACATTGACTACCATAGAGTACTTAATAATTAGAGCTTTAGAAAAAACAACAATATATTTAGTCATTTGTTTTATTGAATTATTTTTATTATATCTATATGAATAGTAACAAATGAATGATTCTCAAGACGAAGAATATTCATTGAATAAAATCTTCTTTGTCATCTATCAAATCGAATTACGATGATGAAAGACAAAAAAAAAAAAATAATAATAAAGAAGAACGTCTTCTTTTGGTTATTTTTTTTTGTTTTTCTTCGATATAAAAGACGATTACTATAGCGTGTATTGTATCGTAGATTAAATTTTATTGATTAGATTCAATCGAGTACCTAATAATTTGCCTACTCATCATCAAACATCCTTTTATATACATATATTTACTTTTGATAACATTATTGCACGTTAGTAAGTCATAAAGAAAAAAGAAAATAATTGACAACATAGCAAAATAATAAGAACAAAAAAAAAAAAAGAAAAAAGTCCAACTGTGATTTTTATTTTTCTTATATTTCAGATGATTGAACGATGAATACATTATCAATACGTGATCTTTGTTGTCTTTTTTGTTGTCCACCTTTACCATCACGTATAGCTGCTAAACTTGGTAATATAAAATTTATTATATAGAAAAATTTTTTTATTTATTAAAATTTTAGCTTTTCTTCCACCGGAACCAACTTATTCATTATTAGTTACTGATAATTCTACATTAATAAATGGTACACATGATCAAATTTTATCAACATCAATAAAACCTATACAAACTGATTCATCAACATCTTCTCATTATAGAATATTTTTTTCTGATAAAGCTGAATGGCAACATTCAACAAATGAAATTTCTAAATTAGAACCATATTTTGTAACAACATCTCGTCATAATCGTATTGCATGCATTTATGTTAATTGTACACCAAATCCAAAATATTATATTTTATTTAGTCATGGCAATGCTGTTGATCTTGGTAAACAGAATTTTTTTCTTATAAAAAAAAAATTTGTGATAAATTTTTTTTGTTTTTCAAGGTCAAATGGCTAGTTTTTTTATTGTTTTGGGTGCACGTTTACAATGTAATATATTTAGTTATGATTATTCCGGTTATGGTGCATCACAAGGAAAAGCAAGTGAAAAAAATATGTATGCTGATATCGAAGCAGCATACAAATCTATTAAACAACGATATCATATATCTGAATCGAAAATTATTCTCTATGGACAAAGTATCGGTAAGAGAAAATAATTAAAAAAAAAACAATGTTATTAATAAAATATATTCTACAATCGTCTATGACTGAAATCAAAAATTGATAGTATACTATGTCTTCCAGTGTTTTATCCAGGATTTTTTCTCCGGAGGGGCGATTTGAATTTCCGAGGGGGCGAAAAATTATTTTCGGGGGGGGGGGAGCAAGCCATGTATTCGTAGCACGATTATCACAAGTCTCGGGAGGGCGAACTCGATTTTCGAGAGGGGGGGGGGGGGGCGCCGCCCCCGGGCACCCCTCTGGATAAAACACTGATGTCTTCTCTATGAAGAGTCAACTTGATCTTTGAATAAAATACTTGTTTATGACTTCATATATATATTCATAGGTACTGTTCCAACAATAGATTTAGCTTCACGTTATAATGATTGTTGTGTAGCATGTATATTACATAGTCCATTAACATCAGGCATGCGTGTAGCATTTCCTGAAACAAAACGAACATGGTGTTGTGATGCATTTCCTTCAATAGATAAAATTCATCGAATACGTTCAATTGTTTTAATTATACATGGAACAGATGATGATGTTATTGATGTAAGTCATGGTTTTGCACTTTATAATCGAATACATATACAACATCAAACTGATCCATTATGGGTTGATGGTGCTGGTCATAATGATATTGAAGTAAAAAAAAACAAAAAAATAAATTAATTTTAAATTTCAATATATATACATATTTATTATTTTCATTTTATTAAGGCACATGGTCAATATGTTGAAAGATTATTACGATTAATTGATATCGACATTCCACAAATATATTTAAAAACACAAGAACAAATACAACAACAACCAGAACAAACAACATCAGCTCAATCTACACTTGCATCAACACTTATTATACCAGCATCAACAACAACAACAACAACTAATGGAGCAAATTAATAGATTATTATGAAATAAAATTTATATTGATAAAATTCTTTCAAGTTGTGAAAATTGAATAATCGATCATTATGTGCAATGTTTTCATCTGTACTTTTCTTGTTTTACTATTAGGTCAATATATCTATATATATATATATATTTTTAAACAAATCAAAGATCAATTTTTTTTTCTATATATATATATGTGTGTGTGTGTATGATCTAGTGCAAACTACAGCAAAGAAAAATTTTTTATGTTTATGATTGTTTTTTTTTTCTTTTTTTTTTTGTGTTAACTAACAAAAAAAAAGAAAAATATGGGTGATGTATTTAACTATTAGTTGTTTTTTTTGTTTAACTGTGAATGAAGATAAGAACAAAAGAAAGAAAAACAACAACAGATTAAGATAGTGTGACTATTGATAAATATGAAATAATGTTTAGATTTGATAACTTGATTATTGTATACTAATTGATAGAACTCATGAGAGAATATTTTCAATTATTCAATCACGTTTTCATCGAACTCTATGAGATTCTGGGTTATAGGTCATGCCAATCTCGAATATGATCGAAAAAAAATTCCTCTGTAGATTTTTATATATCAGTTTTCAAGATTAAAAAATTCTTTAACAAGTTTCTGTTTCTCAATCTATCTAGATGATTGTATCGCATATCGGATGCGCTATGGAAACATCACATAAATATTAACTAAAAAGCTATCAGTCAATGCTTTTTTTGAAGCTAATATCGTAACACATCAATGGCGTTCTAGAAGATCTACAATTATCATAGATTTATGAAGTTTATATTACTCATATAAGAGTATCTGATAATCTATTTTTAAATCTTTAGAAAAAACAGTCGGAACTTAGTATTACATTGATAGTACAATGCAGTAACTTCTAGAATACCTTTTTTCTAACATATGGATTCAAAGAGTTAAATCAATTCTACTTTACAAGATATATTCAACTGTCAATAAGATTCAACAAAGAAAACAAAATACTTTCAAACGAAATTCTATAAATGATTTTATGTTCAAAATATTTAAAAAAGCTGTTACCCATGTAGACAAACATTTTCAAAAACGCGTTTAAAAAAGGGCTTAAAATCCATAAAAAGTGGACGTGTTTGGTTCACAATCGCGGTTCCCGACTGTCAGCGAAAAACGACCACTTTTTGCCCTTTTTGTGAGCTTAAACGCGTTTTCAGCAAAAACACGCTTGTAAGCTCGTATAAACGCATAAAAAGAACATAAAAAGTAGTTATCTTGTTCCTTTTCGTGAACCGTGATTGTAATTATGGTTGTGATTTATGAGTATGAAAAAGATGACAACTTTTCATGATCGTCTTATACGTTTACACGCGTTTATCACCGTTTTTTTGGCAAAAAGTGGTCGTTTTTCGCTGACAGTCGGGAACCGCGATTGTGAACCAAACACATCCACTTTTTATGGATTTTAAGCCCTTTTTTAAACGCGTTTTTGAAAATGTTTGTCTGTTTGGGTAGCGCAATCCTTTGCCGGATTAAAAATGTGAAACACGATGGATCTATTATTACTAATTAAATGGAAATCGCTTTCTTTCATTCCTTTGCAATACTTTTGTAGCTAATCGTTTATCTGATACTTTAGAACTACAGTTTTTCTATCACGGTCTGTGCGGGGGAGGGGATCCAAAATTTCTACCCTATAAATTTCAACACTCCTTTCAGATCGTGCTTCACAAAATAGCGAACTTATATGTTTTAGCTTCATGAGATCAATTTCAATAGTTATTATACATATGTAAAACTTTAGGAGCATTGAACGAAATCATGAAAAGTGACATGTTTGAAAACATCATAAAATATAGAAAAGGTTTTTAATGACAACGAATGGTTCGTTTCCAAGGTATTGATATGTAATAGAAATTTTTTCTATAATATTTGCAATGAAATAATTCAACGAATAAATAATTTTGATAGTTATAGTTTTTGAGTCTATGCAACTCATCATCAGTAACAAAATTGATAGTCCTATAATCATCTCAATCAAAAATCATCATTTTCATTGAACAGTAATCGATATAGACACATGCTATGTTTTCGCACAATAATGAATAGATACTTCGTCTTCTAATTAAATCACTGAAAAACTCTATTTTTGATTGGTGTATACATCAAATGAATGTCATGAAAATCATTTGACTCTCATTATCCTATTTAATATAAAAGAATGTTATCTACACGAGCTCAATCCACAAAGACTCAATCTACATTATTAGCATCAGGTATATCAAAACAAAAAAACAAAAAATCGTAAGCTATTTTTGTATTCTCCTCAGGTGATCATCAATCAATTGAAACTCCATCTAAGTTCAAGTAGATTTTATTTTTAATTTAATCATATTTTCTAATTCTTTATATAGTTTTCTTTTAATCAATAAAATTCGTAATCTTCTTATTCTAATAGCAATTCTTCTTTGTAAGTTATTTATAATTCATTTAATTAAAACAAATTCATAGAAATTTCTAAATAGTTGTTTGGTTAGTTGGTATTCCATTTTCAACATGGTTATTTACAATTAATTCTAATCATTTTCATATAAATGAAATCAAATTAAAAGAATTTATTCGAAATGAATTAGAAAAATATTTACAACAATTTCAATTAACATGTAAATCAAAGTAAAAGAGACAAAAAAAAACAAAAAAAAACAATTATTTTTCTTCGAAATTTTTTATTATTTATTCAGTACACAATGTATTACATATCATAATTATGTATCAAAAATTGAACATGAACAAAATATTCAACAAATTCTTAATAAATGTAATTCGAATTTTTTTTCATGGTTTAATAGTGGACAAGTAGAATTAATAATTCTTTTTTTTGTTATTTATCAAAAGATGTTTTATTTTTTTTTTTTATTAGAAAATAAAATTAATTATTGATGAAGCTCTTAGAAAATATGATTCAGATAATATTGCATTAGCAGATTATGCACTTGAATCTGTTGGTAAGATTTCTTATTTTTAAAATATAAAGTCTTAATAATAAATTTCTAGGTGGTTCAATTATTACTGAATATTCATCAAAAACATATACTGATCGTTCACCAACATTGAATATACTTGGTTTACCAATTCTTAAACGAATTATATCACCAAATATTATTCTTAGAGTAAAATATTTCAATTTTTTCATAATTTATTATGAATTATTTTATAGAAAGGTATTATGCCTGGTAATTGTTGGCCAATGATAGGTTCACATGGTTATATTCTTATTAGTCTTGCTTTTCCTGTTCGACCAACAATGTTTACACTTGAACATTTACCTAAAACACTTTCATTTGATGGACAAAGTCGTTCAGCACCGAAAGAATTTTCAATTCGAGTAAGAAAATTCTTTTTTTTTTTTGTTTTTTCTCATTCAAATTTTAACATCATTCAGGGATTAAATTCAATTGATAATGAAGGACAATTTCTTGGTCGTTTTATATATGATACAACAAAAATCGATTCTTCACATATACAAACATTTCATGTTCAACAAGGAGATCATTTAATATTTTATCATTTAATTAAATTAATTATTGAATCAAATTGGGGTCATCCAGAATTTACTTGTATCTATCGTTTTCGTGTTCATGGACAACCTCAACTTCCATCGTCATATTAAAACAGAAAAAAAGAAACCAGAAGTTTCTACTACTTTGTTTTTCTTTTTTTTAAATATTCATATCTATCTTTCGTTTGACCTTCATTCTTTACAATAATTAATTGTATGAATAAATTCTTCTAGTATAAACATATATGAAAGTGTTAGTAAGTTCAGTTGACTAGTAATTAGAACTAAATAAAAAGATATTAGTCAATATCTTTCCAAAGATATGAAAAAAAAATCGAAAACTTCAGAATAGATTATAGAGCATGAAGCGAATCTATGATGAGATTTTTAATAGCATCGAACTCGCCAAAACTTCTTTCACAAAACAATTTTTCTAAAAACTTTGTCAATTCTCAAAAGAAAAAACTCTTGTGCTCAGACATGAGTAGATCTTGAGAAAACCAGATTTCTCAAAGCAATATTTAAAATTCAGATCTTTTTCATGCATGTCATTCATGGTGTAGAGTCTATTCTGAAATCTTCGTTTAGCTGTATCAATGCTTTCTGTCAATTCATTTTTATTAAATAAGAAAAGAAATACATCAAGAAATATAGAATGTTTTTTTTGTCTCCAATGGAAGTTTAATGAATAACAGCTTTCATACATCTTAGTGAACAGTTTCCACAATATTTTTCATCTATTTTACAATTATCATCTGAATAACATTTTGGAAAACGTGGAAATAATATATTTGGATCTGAACGACGAACTCTATCAGCAAGTCTTGCTGGACAACATCCATCATGTTCTTTAGGGCAACAATATGGTTGATCATATACAAATGGATTACATTCACATATTGGACAACCATTTCGAACTAAATATCGTTTACATTTCACTCGACAAAACACTACAGGTAAACATAAAGATATTCTTGCAGTGTCTTTTTCTTCTAATTAATGGTGATGCTGATGGTGATTGAACATGTAATAGACCAATAAATGCAATAAAAAATAAACAAATATAACTTACATTGTAAAAGATATTATTTAGTTTTCGATTGAAAAGTAAGAATAGATATGAAGTATTTATATGTTTGTATGTATTATGTATTTTAATTGATGAATGAAAGATAAAAAAACAAACGTAAATGTATATCAAGGTATGAAGTCAATACCTAGTCGATAGATGATATCAATTGTATGATAATGTTTATATTAAAACTCAGATTTTTGCTAAAAAACCTGCGCAAATGTCTATTTTTATGCTTTCATTTACTATTTCAGAGGTATATCAAGTCATCATATATAAATAGAATAAGATAGATTATCAAATAACATCAAACAAATAATGTCTATCATCATACAATTTTCATTAATCTCACTGATCGTCTTCTTAACATTATCAAATGCTGAAACAAATCTTTCAGCTTTGGATGTTAACCCAAACATTATTATTAGACCAAGATGTTGTCCATTCATTTGTTTCATAAGATGTTAACGATATATAATTCGAAATAGTTGTCGAACATGTGAATATAATCCATGTGTATATGGTAATCCAATTGGAAATGTAAGATGTGATAGAGGAAATCGTCAATGTGCATTACATGGTAGTATATGTAAAGAAAATCAAGTGACAGATAGATTGTGTTGTTGTTCAAATACACCAAGTATAATATTTGCATGTTTTTCAAGATATTCTTCGGATTGAAACTATAGAATTGAACAAAAACCTTGTGGAACGTATCCACGGCGATGTGTTCCTGCAATTATTCCATAGAAATGTGATGAATAAAATACAAATTTTTACATCATATTTATTGCTTCTTTTTTTTTTGTTCTAATTCATAATAATTTGTTACTTTATATAGAAATATAACAACTCCTTAGCACTGTATTTGTTTCATTCATGCTAATTTGAATGTATTACTATAAAACACATAAAGTAAACAAAACATGATAAGTTTTTGTCACTTCTTTCTGAAATTGTCTATCAGAGTTGAATTTATTTTGTTGTTAGTATTTACTTCTGATTGTGAATCATGAATATGACATAACTAATTTCTGAAATTTTAGACATGGTTGATGACACATGTTGTTAAGATTACGAATCAGATAAAAGGACGTTGGCAATACAACTGTATTTTTATATGCGTACTTTTAATCGAACATATTCCTTTGTAACGTAACACAAGGAAAATTACAAATATGCATAATAATAATATAATTGTAATAATGAAAAATAAATATCGCTATTAGTATGATAGCAAGATATATGTTTTTTTTTCTTGTATTAAATGAATTGATTATGTTCCAATGAAAACTAGTCGCTATAGACACATAAAACATCATTACCTTCTTTGAACTATGATTGTTTATAGGATAGGAAATGTTTAAAAAAAATTTAGACCGTATCGACATTGTTACTAATGTTTATAGAAAGAAAGATTATGATTAGAGACTCTCTCAACAGAATTCTTTATCATATCAGTATGCCTATATTTACAATAGTGTTTATTAAACATATTCCAATAATATATCTTTGATACAAAGTTATAAATTGTAAGAAAGTTGGATTTTATTAGAGTGAATTATATTAAATATAGTTTTGATAAATGAAAATGTTCTCCAAGATAAAGAACAAGAGAAATGATAATTTTTCTCAGCATAAAAGAAAACTACTAATACAAAATGCAAAGCAAGAACGATGTTAACAATTAGTTGTCAGGAAGACATTTACTATGATACCAATTTGAATATTTTCTGTTTCATTCGAATCATGACAGGATATAACCTTACCACTAGTGTCGTGCAAAAAACGATGTTTCTTAATTTCTGTTGTAATTTTTACGTTTATAGATGATTACGAAGTCACATAAACAAAGATTAATTTAGCTATTGAAAAACATAATAAGAAAAAAATTTCGGAAACATCAATATTCATTGTCGTTACATTTAGAACACCACCTACTCTGTTTTATTTAGGTATTTTAAGGCCAACTTTGTTTTTAAATATCTATAAGCGAGATCAACACAACACAAGATACTGTTTTCTTTTCCAAGCTCATTTTCAATACTCGCAAAAATTGTTCAAGTCCATCATGATGCTAATTACGTACAAGAAATATTTTATTTCATATTATTAATGATAGAAGATTATCTGAAAAAATTTTATCTCACAAACGATCAAAAACGAAGCTGATCCTTTTGAGTAAATCCTACGTAATTTAATACTATTGACTAAGACAAGAAATAACACTCCATTCGTTTCCCAAACATACGTAACAGTAAGAATTTGTTTTATTTACAAACTAAAGTCGAGTTAGACTCAAAACCAACTCAATGTGTCATATTCTAAAAGTAACAGTCAATTATGACTTGATTATTATTGTTGTACCATCGTCAGGATGGCCTGCAAGACGTTATACTTTGGTCAGTATACGTTTTATGTTTCTTTATTTTTTCGTTATCTATCATTGTTTTTGTCGAATATTATTCTATTGTTTATCATGCGCAATTCAACGGAATGTTTATCTTTTATTCTTTCTATTATAGAATTCAGTAATTTGAACATAATTGAAAAATTGATTACCCTTGTGATTTGCTACAGAATGTTTTATAATCTTTATTTATTGTTGTGTTCACACACATATTATTGTTAATGTATGGAACAATTATGGACTGTTATTAATTATTATTTAGAATGCTTATTCAATGATGAATTTATCATAGTAAAAAAAAATAAGATCGATATTTATTGTTACTAAATAGGAATTGAATGTCAAATATTCGAGGTATATGGTAAGTTATTTACTCATGCATTAATAATTGTCTTTTAAGAAAAAGAATAAATAGAATAGATTTATGGAAGAATTACTAATTCTCTAATTGTTGGACACCAATCGACTTTATATTTTACCTAGAGATAGAATTCTTCTTTTTTGTTTTTTTAGAACAAGTCAACATAAAAATACAGTTTTACTTATAGATAAAGTTAATCGTCTTTAGAAAATTCTGAAAATTTCAAAGAAAATGAAAGTACTTTTTAGAAACTGTTTACTTTTTTTAATATACATCTCATCTTTCATATAATACCATGATGCTAACTTTATTAAAAGAACAAAATTGAATTAGTTTCATATTCAACCTTCTTAATTATAATTGAATATAATCAATAATAGTAATTATTATGTCTTTTTTTTTTCTAAATATCAAAAGCAGAAAGAAACATGATGAGTTTTTATTATCGAATTCGAAAGTCTTGTTAATTAATGTATTCTAATAAATGATTTTTAACTGAATCAATGAATCGTTTAGTTACATAGTCTTCAGTTGGCTCATCAAATTATTCACTCTTTCTAGCGTCGTATCTGTTCCTTCTTTAACCAGGAAAGTGTTTTGTTTACGCATTTGTGAATTTTGTATTGCTTCACAATACATTAGATCATTGTTCGTTGAATATTCATGTATTTCATAACTTCACCTAATAAATCTACGTTTAAATAGTGATTAACTATCAAAGTTCGAACGTCTTTTGAAGATTCCTTTATTTTTAAAAGTACCATACTTTAGTTTGTCAAGAATCAAATACTTGGGCACTTTTAGCTAAGATATTTTACCGTGAATCTTTCCGACGGAAGAAAAAGGAAACCAAATGTTTAACTCTTGTCCCAGACAATATTCCAACCGCAGACACATAATGACAAAAAAAGGTGACCTTTTATTACTCGATTGGTCTTAAAGAGGAGTGAAGGGTCAATGTTTTTAGTCGATTTATATCATAAAAACAAGAACAAAAAGACGTAAGGTTTTCAAATATACAGAATGAAAAGGAGAAAAGGTGAGATTTACCAATAGTTTGGAGCAGTATACAAACTGTACAACTGTAATATTTTCAGCTTGAAAATATCAAATATTTGTTTGGTCAAGATGAACCATTTTTGCAAATATATTAGGAAAACCTCAGCTATATTCTTATGGAAGCTGACACTCAAAAGGTCAAATTATTTCAAAGATATAAGGATAGCACAGTTATTCATGACCTCTATACAAATAATTTTGAGCGCCTTTATATATACAATTATTGCTTTCTAAATTTATATTATTAAATGAGAAAAGAAATACATTAAAAAATATCGAATGTTTTTTTTTTCTCCAATGGAAGTTTAATGAATAACAGCTTTCATACATCTTAGTGAACAGTTTCCACAATATTTTTCATCTATTTTACAATTATCATCTGAATAACATTTTGGAAAACATGGAAATAATATATTTGAATCTGAACGACGAATTCTATCAGCAAGTCTTGCTGGGCAACATCCATCATGTTCTTTAGGGCAACAATATGGTTTATCATATCATGAATGAGTTTTACATATACTACCAGCTACTAAACATTTTCGTTCACTATGACTACAAGTTATATTAGTAAATGGTTGATCATATACAAATGGATTACATTCACATATTGGACAACCATTTCGAACTAAATATCGTTTACATTTCACTCGACAAAACACTAGAGGTAAACATAAAGATATTTTTGCAGTGTCTTTTTCTTGTAATTAATGATGATGCTGATGGTGATTGAACATGTAATAGACCAATAAATACAATAAAAAATAAATAAATATAATTTACATTGTAAAAGATATTGTTTAGTTTTCGATTGAAAAATAAGAATAGATATGAAGTATTTATATGTTTGTATGTATTATCTATTTTAATTGATGAATGAAAGATAAAAATAACAAACGCAAATGTATATCAAGGTATGAAGTCAATACCTAGTCGATAGATGATATCAATTGTATGATAATCTTCATATTAAAACTCAGATTTTTGCTAAAAAATCTGCGCAAATATCTATTTTTATGCTATCATTTACTAATTCAGAGATATATTAAGTCATCATGTATAAATAGGATAAGATAGATTATCAAATAACATCAAATAAACAATGTCTAACATCATACAATTTTCATTGATCTCACTGATCGTCTTCTTAACATTATCAAATGCTGAAACAAATCTTTCAGCTTTGAATGTTAACCCAAACATTATTATTAGACCAAGATGTTGTCCATTCATTTGTTTCATAAAATGTAAGCGATATATAATTCGAAATGGTTGTCGAACATGTGAATGTAATCCATGTGTATATGATAATCCTATTGAAAATGTAAGATGTGGTAGAGGAAATCGTCAATGTGCATTACATGGTGGTATATGTAAAGGAAATCAAGTGACAGATAGATTGTATTGTTGTTCAAATACATCAAATATAATATTTGCATGTTTTTCAAGATGTTCTTCGAATCGAAATTGTAGAGTTGGACAAAAATGTTGTGGAACGTGTTCACAGCGATGTGTTCCTGCAATTATTCCATAGAAATGTGATGAAGAAAATACAAATTTTTACATCATATTTATTGCTTCTTTTTTTTTTGTTCTAATCCATAATAATTTGTTACTTTACATAGAAATATAATAAATCTTTAGCATTGTATTTGTTTCATTCATGTTAATTTGCATGTATTACTATAAAACACATAAAGTAAACAAAGCATGATAAGCTTTGTCATCTCTTTTTTGCAACTGTCTATAAGAGGACAATGTTATTTTTAGTATTTGTTTCTAATTGTGAATTATCAACATAGGATGACTAATTTCAAAAAAAAGTAGACATTGTTAGTGATACATACTAGTGAGAATAGCAATCAGATTAAATGACCTCAACAATGCAACTTTAATCGAGCATGTTACTTTGTAGAGTAAAAGAGATGTTTACGATAATACATAGATACGGTGTAATTTTAAAATCAAACGATAAATATCGCTATGAAGATAGTAGTGAAACAACATATATTTTTTTCAACTGTGTGAATTAATCATCTTCCCGTTAAAACTAGCCACTTGACACACAATTTTTATTACTTGTTATAGAAAGAAAGATTTTTATCATATCCATATGTCTATATTCATAGCTGTGTTTACTAAACATATTCCAATAATATATCTTCAATAGAAAGTTATTAATTGTAACAACATTGGATTTCATTATAGTAGATTACGTTAAATATATTTTGATAATGAAAATTTTCTCCGGATAAAAACCAAGAGAAGTAATAATTTTTTTTTCACATAAAAGAAATCTACCGACGTAAATTGAAAAGCAAGAATAATGTAAGCTACAACTTGTGCCTATAATAAGACGAGTTTTAAAACTTTTAAATGGTCCTCATGTACATCAAAAATAACAAAGTCTAACATTTAAAACTAACTATTAGAAACGAAACAAGACTTCGATTTTTTTCTGGATCTCATAAATGATATTGTGATCTATTTTTTCGAATATTCAAGCTTTATTGTACAGTAGAAAACTACTCGAAATATCAATTATGGAAATTTTTTAAACAATAAATTTTTCTTGAGTTGCAGAGTCAGTAACAATGTGACATACTTTTGCCAAAATTTACAAAAAAATCCAGCAGGAAACAAAATAGATAAAAAATTTTGTTTATTTTAGAAGCCTAATGAATTTCTCAGTATCGATATCACATTTTTTTTGTTTCGCAGTGAGAATATACAGTGTGTCGATTGCTTCAAAATTTAAAAAAAAAAAGTCCTTTTTAATAGTGTGAATCTGTATGCTTTTCTATTTTCTTGCTTTCCCTAATACATAACTGTCTATATACATGGTATACAAGTATGTTTTTTTATCCTCTTATTCATTCATAAAGTACATATGTTTAGTTCTAGCATGATATAATGATCTAGAATAATTTTGATTGTTTTATATTTAGCTTCATCATGTTAAAAAACAAAGAAAATTATAGGATAGCACATCCGGAGAAGTTTTTATATATAATTTACATATAGGACACGCTGAACTTTAAACAACATGAGCAAAACAGAAGAAAGAAAAAGAATACAGAATAAATATATAAGAAAAACAAAATATTATGATATTAATTTATGAATTTTCTATGGGATCAGAAATGTATTGGACAATATCTCATAAGGATATTAAAAAAAGATGAAAACTTGCTAGGTTTTCTGGTTAATAATGAATAATCTTCACATTATTCGATGACACAGACATCCATTCATGTTTGCGTCTTCTAATCCTACGGGAACATTTCAAATATATATATATATAGTATAGTAACGAATGATGATTATGTATAATGAAAAATTTAAGTAAAAAAAAAGTAGTGAATTTTATTAACTTCGGATGAAAAGTTCTAAAGTTTAATACTATATTTAATAGTTTTGAGATTAAAAAAAAAACATAATAATCCAATGCTAGTCGATGATGAGAAATATAGAAGTGTATATTCTAATGTTTTCTGATGATGTATAGAAACCTTGATACGTAATAATCATTGGACAGAAAAAAGAAAGGTTTCGTTATATAAGATTATAATACTTCTTATGATAATCTTGCTCGAAAGTAAAGTTAATATAGATTTTCTTTTCATATAAATTTTTTTTTACTTTTTTTAAAAAATTTAATGGTTGTAATATGTTTATTATTGAATGACTCTTGAATATTATACATGATGAAAGAATTTCAAAAATTGATCGAGAAAAAAAAAAAAACATGTATTTTTTATATTTCACATGTGAAGAAATACACGGAAATATGAGAGGAAGTACGGAGAAATACAATAAAATATAAGATAAATGAATAATTTTTTTTTTTTTCATTTTCTTAGAAATTTATTTCTATAGAAAAAAAAAAACTTTCCTATCTGAATAATAAATTTTCAAAGAGATTAGTTTTGATCGTTACAATTTAAATCAACATTCATAATCGTATATTTTTATCCTTGAATAATTAACACATCGATTGTTTACATATATATATATATATTATTTACTTGAAAATAAAAATAATCATACCATAGAGTTCGAATTAATTAGAAATATTTTTAGTGTTGAAATTTGCTTCTTTTATCATTATACTGTAATCATCATTGTTGGCTTTTTTTTTTCTTTTTGATCAACGAGCATGTCATCATTTACCATTTCTCATTAACATTAATGTTAATAATAATGTTACTGTTATCATACCCTGTTGATTCTAGATTGAGTTTATCTCTCTCTCATCAAGTTTTATATATGTTTCCATTTTATTTCCTGTTTTGATCTGTATGAATTTTCTATTATTTTTTTTTATATGCTTCAAGTATTATTTAAACATAAGTGTTAACAATTGATGCAAATACTACAAGCAACATATGAGGTTAATCTGACCAAAAATATTTTAGCAAAATATAAAAGTTTGTATTTCTTTCTTTTTGATGAAATTAATTAGTTAAGAATTTGAATATTAGAATTTGTTGTTCTTATCTTTGTACAACAAATTAAATTAATAATTTGTATAATATTTGATTAAATTTATTTATTTTGCTATTTTTATCATAAATGTCATAAAAACAAAGTATTAAGTTTATAGCTTCTATATAATCAAAATTGACATGAAAGTTCTATATTTGCACTTGGACAAAAACACAAATATATGATAATAATCAAATAAAGTAAGTTATTATTTATTAATTTCCATAAGAAAATTTAATTTATTTAACTTTTCTGATTTATTTACATATTATAATTTAATCGAAAATAATTTCTTAATATTTTTATATTGACCTTTCATCTCAAAATTATATTATTTTATTACTATTGATATTAAAAAAGTTTTTTTTTTTGTTTGTACTTCTTCATTCAGTTGTTTAATGTAATATTGAAATACTTTCTTGTAAGTTATTTAAGAAAAAATAAAGATTCTATTTTATTCTTACGAGCAAAGTCTTCCAATTGATTAATTACTTTTGAGTTATGATTAAATATATTCTATAGACCGTTATGAGATATGAATATTTTGTAAAGAGTTTTAGCCTTTAGCTTATTACTATTGAGATAAAGTATTCTTAAAGTAAATGAGATTGACCCCTTTAGGAACATCAGGAAAAATGATTTTTTTCAATTTTTGATTTAAAACTTTGTACAAAGATATAAGTCTTCATATGAATAATTTATTATGAAAATTTGTTTTCATTCTGCAATTAGAAAAGATTGGGAAACTTTTTTTTCAAACATTTGATCTATTTTTTGCAGTAATAAGATAAAGATTTGAACTTTATTGAGTGTATTAGGATCTAGATGACATAGATACTTATGATTAAAAAGTAATTAATCAGTAGACGAAATTTCTTTTGTCAGATTGAAAACAAAAAAAAAGAAAAATCTAAATCTCATTTAATCCTATTTTTTTATTAGTCAAAATACATAAGAACAAAAATTTATTAGATTTTCTTTTATTATTATTGATTTAACTAAAGTTAAAATATGTATATTTGTTATAAACGAAATCATCATATTTGTATTTCCTAAATGTTCAGTTTTTTTTTATATATGACGAAAGGACATTTTCTTTCTTTGTTGTTCCTATGAAATATTGTGTTTGTCAATATTAAGTATTAGTACTTTTTTTTTTACGCTAATGTTTTTTCATAAGTCTAATAAAACATAGAATGAAGAGGAAATATATGAATATGTGTACTAAACTAATAGTAATTAGAAAATTTGATCAATACATTTTTAAGGAAGTACTAGAAAATCGTATTATTATGTTAGTAACAGATAAATAGTCAATTGCATAATTTCAAAGTCGAGATTTTATATTGCTTTTGTATAATATCAAAATATTTATTTATTTTTGATGACTTTAAAAATATTTAGTCTCAAAAAAAAAAAAAAAAAAAGACACAATATTTCTAATTCTATATTTAATAAAAGCATAAAATTCTAATTATTATTCATAGTTTTTTATTTTTCTCAGATACTTTCACACAGATCAAATATGAAACAATTATTGACATTAGAAATTTCAGGGTCAAACTCATTATTTTTCTATCTCTCAAAGATTATCTCATCACTCGAACAAAAACTAAGATAAAATTTTTAAGACCATATTCAAAAAAAATGCACAATATACCAATCCTAATCCATAGTTTTTGACGCATCTTGGAAATACTTTCAAAATATCTACAAAATAAACAAATTGTTTGATCCATCCATTAGTTTATCTTAATTTGATGTATATATAAAAACACAATGTTCAAATTTTATTTATTAATGATTGTCCTCCAATATGTTGAAGCAATCTTAAAGAGAAATAGTCTAAGACCATGGATCTTTCACAAGGAATTTTCTTTTTTTTTTGACATTGCAGAAATTAATTAATCTTTAAAGCTGACAAGGCTTACAATTCTCCTAGATAGCAGAAGAATGTTTTGCGGTGAATAGTTCTTTTTTTTCTCTTTGTCAAATTATGATTTTTAAAAGTGTAAAATGTTACACATCTAATTCTTTTTTTTGTGACATGTTCGTTCTCTGCAAAATCTCTAGAGACAATACAATGTTCTTATTATGTTTTATTAGAATAAATTTATAAGATAGAAGGTAGCAAAAAAGAAAAGTAATAAATCATAAGATTTATTTGAGTCTACTAGTCTTTTTTTTTTGTTTTGTTTCTTTTCTTTTTGATGATCAAAATCTTTTTAATTATGATAAAGTGTTATGTAGGCGTATAATATTTATATCACATCGTTACTTTTCTCTTATTTATTCATATGATTTTCTTTTTTCTTATAAAAGTCAATTGACCTATTTTTAATCAGTTCACAATCAACAAGTATGACTTCTTTTCCTCAAACATTCCATCAGTTTTCTTTTTCTTTTGACAACATACACAGTTAGCTAAAAGCAAATGACGTTTTTCTTAAAGATTTCTTTTTCTTGTTATTAGAACTAGAGAAAAAAAAAATGTCGATGATGATGATGAGGATGATGATGATGATCGACTGAAAACGAACGGCTGTCAATGTAATCAAAAAGAATATGTTAAATGAACATACATTCATATGTCAGTTTTTTTTTTGGCTTTCTTGTATTCATCGCAATTATTATCCTTATGAAGACAACAATACTTAGAAAACAATAGATATATCGAATCGTTTGTTAACATATATATATATACATGTCAATTCTATCATATTCATTTTGTTTTATTATATGAGAAACTACTTCTCTCTCTCTCTTTTTTTTTATTAATCGAACCGAATTACTTAGATATGTTTTATTACTTATTTAAAATTATTTTTAAATGTATAAATAAATATTCAAACTTCGAGTTTGTATTAGAAAAGATAAAAAAAAAAAATTGTAACAATATTATTCATCAGTCTCTTCTGACCTATAAAAAATGCGTAAAAGTCATTTAATATATATATAAATATAAATGTAAGTTTCTAATATGATACTTGTTCTTATCATATGAATCTAATAGAATAATAATAAAAATGATAGGCTAGAAAAAAAAAATTTAACAATGCTTTATTTATCTGTATGATAAAAATAAAGAATTATAAAATGATGAAGATAAGAATCTCGGAAAAATCATTCAATCAAAAGGAAAAAAAATTCATAAGAGTTAGAAGTATTGAAACCCAAAAGAAAAACAAAACATTTCTTTATCATAATAATGACAAAGATTTTTTGTTTTTTCTGATTCAAGAAATATAAGAAGTTGAGAATCGAGTGAAATACTCATCTTACACTGTTTTTTTGTTCTCGATCTTTACTCCTTTTTTTGTTTTTCTTTCTTTTTACAACATTATATAGTTTATATAAATAAAATAAGAAAATCCTTTCTTTGTATAGATTCTTTTATAGTCTTGAAATATTTCATATTAGAATTAGAAAATCGTATTGTTGAGTCTAGCAGATACTTGTTTTTATCTCTTTCTCTCAATTTTCTTTTTTTCCCTTTGCTTTCCTGCTTTTCTTTATATTTGAGATGCATTATTGTTACTATAGAGGACATCACCAATATTTTTATTCCTAATAATGTTGCATTTTTCTTCTATCATTGAGTTTTTCTTTCTAAATGTTCATCTTGAGAGTGAACATGATCATTTTTCAGAAGTTGAAGGACAACATAAGTAAAGAATGATGATAGACAAAAGAAGAAAAAAAAAATATTGCGTTTTAACCATGTCATCATTCATATTCAGAACACTTTTAAGCTAATAGGTTTCAACAAGTCACTTAGAAATCTTTCTCGAGCTCTTTTCCTTTTTTTTTTTTTTACTTGTCTTAACGAAATTAAATGTACTTTCTAGATCGATGAAAATATTTGAGATGTTTCTTCTTTTTCTATCTTGTGTACGTCATTTCCGCACATAAATACTATTAAAAAATATGAATTAGTAAACGGAAATCATTTGATCTTAGTATATTATGTTAAACGATTTGTCGACTTGTTGATTCTATAATACGAATATATGGAGGAAAAAAAAAAACGAAGAAATTTTTTTCTCTTCACAGATTTTATTTTCTATCTGTTTAGATTTGATTTTTTTTTTGTATTTGTATATTTTCACGATATTAACTTTATTATACAAATATTCTTATAAAAATTTATTTAATATTTTTTGATTCTATTATAAATTTGTTTATTCATATGTATTATTCATATGCAAGTTCTATCTCAATTTCATTCTATTGTCTCATTGACAACATTAAATAATTCAAATGATAATTTAACATTATCAATTTTACCCGATATTTATAATAGTTCATTAACTCGACCAATTTTAGCAACTATTTTAATTGCTCTTTGTTTATCAATTATTATTATATTAACTATACTTGGAAATATTCTTGTTTTAATTGCATTATGTATTGATTTTGCGCTTCGTTCACCAACTCATTTACTAATGGGTAATTTAGCATGTGCTGATTTATTACTAGGTAATTAATATATATATATATATTTTGTTTTTTTTTAAGCTATAAAGAAAATAAAGTCTGTTCTATGTTCTTTCTCTGTAAAAAAACAAATATGATAGTTATTATTTGCTTCTATAGTCTAAATGAGACTATTGTATGTCATTTTTTTTTGTTCGGCCTTGTTACATAAAAAATATGACAAAATATTAATTGGAATACAAAAAAAAAAAAAAAAAGAAAGCTACTGTCAACAAATCAATCTTGTTAGAATCTTTTAATGTTTGTTTAATAGAGAATATTTTCTTATGAATAACGTGATTAAAAAATATTGACGTCACACACTAGTTCCTAGAAAAATAAATAATATATGTTCTTTTTGAAAGTTCATGAACTTGAAACATTTATCGGATCTGTCTAATGACAAACTATTTCCGATTATAGCCTTTAAATAATATCATGATAGATAATCTTCAAGCAAGACTTTGAAGATTATAGGATGTATGTGAATAATGTTTCACTAGTATTATAAAGTTTGAAAACAAAAAAAGAAAAGCAATTTTACTTATCTTTTTTTTCTTCTTTTCTTCTAGGATAATAATTGAAAAGAAAGATTATCGAAATAAATCGTCGAGTTTCTTTTGATAATATATTCTAAGAATGTCGCCATAAGTTTTGAGCTCCTTCAAAAATACGCTCTTGTCAATAGCCATATTAGCAAAATGAAGAGTATAGAATTTCGATAAGATGTATACTAATTAAATTATTTTGAATTATTGAAAGAAGAAAAGGGGACATATCATTTCATCCTCTCGAGGCGTCATAATAGTACTTCATCATTGTTTTTGCTTATATTTAATTGAAATTAAGTTCTATCTTTTTCTTCTGATATCTATCGGTCATAAATGAATTTTTCATATGCATACAACAGATGACACTCAAACATATTTGCCAGTGATAGTTGTTTTGATGAAAACAAAAAAAAACATATTTTTTTTTAAAGATTTACAAAATAAGATATGAAAAATAAATTTTTTAGGTATTACTGTTTTACCATTTTCTGCTACTCTCGAAATTCTCGAAGGTAAATGGTTATTTGGTCAAACATTTTGTCATATATGGCTTGCTATTGATGTTCTTTATTGTACAGCAAGTATTTATGGTTTAATGTTTATTTCAATAGAACGTTATATTGGTGTAACACAACCATTACGTTATCCAATAATTATAACACATCATCGTACAATATTTGCTATATTAATAGCATGGTTAGTTGCTATAATTGTTTCAATTGTTCCATTTCTTGATTGGAATAAAAAAGTTAAATCAACTGATCAAAGTTGTTTAGTTAATGATAATTTATTTTATGTTTTATTTTCATGTTCATTTTCATTTTATATACCATTAATTATTATACTTGTTGTATATGGACGTATTTATGGTGAAGCATTACGACAATATGAATTTTTAAATGGTGGAGAAAAAAAAGTTCGTGTTAAAGAAATTGATGGAGAAGAATGTGTAACATTACGTGTACATATACCACAACATTTAACAGCATCAACAACATCATTATCAAATGGTCATACATCAAATACTTCAATAATAACATATGGAAAAAGAATTTCAACACAAATAACACCATCTAGTTCAAATAAATTATCAAAATTTAAACGAGAACGAAAAGCAGGTAAAAAAAAGAAAATTAAAATTAACTTTCTTTTTTTTTCTTTTTCTTTTTGTTATGATTCTTTAGCTAAAACATTGGGTATTGTTGTTGGAATGTTTATTTTATGTTGGTCACCATTTTTTCTTCTATTACCAATAAGTAATTAATACAAAAAGAAAATGAGAAAGAATTTCATTGGATTTAGTGGTTTATTCTGAAGCAGTGTACCATTTATACGGTTTTTGCAAAAAAACAAATTGTGTGACGTATCGAATAGTTTATAAAAAAAAAATCAAGTTTTTATGAAAATTTTCATTTGTTGAAAGTCGATACATCGATTATAAGTCTTGAAGAATATTATAGGATGTTTCGCAAACATTGTAAATGATAATGAATAATTTTCATCATTATTTTCTTCATAACTAAAAATCGTTTCTTTTCATAGGTCTAGATTATTTTGAGATTATAAGATATTCTAGTGTGTTCAATTCTGTACTATAGAAAAGAAAATGAGTACCAGCATGAAGCTTTCTCATAAATTGCATACTATTAAGCTCTACATGTTTTACATATAACATCTTTCGGAACAGCACGTAATCATTATCAACTTGCACGATTTTCCTATATAAAGGGACAGGTTATATTGACGATCTTTTAAGAATTCTCAATAGTCCTATCAAAGCATTCCAGTTGAACTAATATAACTATACGAAATTTTCTTTTTGAAATAAACTTGAAATATTTATAGAAGTTTTCATCTAGACCTAAGAAAAGGAGAAAACGTTTTTTAAGTATCAAAAAAAAAGCAACGATGAAAACTATTTGTATCGAATTGAGTTTAAAAGCAAAATTTGTATAGTTTTGCTTTAGAGAATATTCTATGAATTACATTATTTATAAGTATCATATATAGATTGACTTTCAAAATTATTCACTCAGATTTATTGTCAATTCTTTTTTTTCATTGTGGTACCTGATAATAGAAATCTTCATTTTTGAAGATAGAAAATGATAACGTGGAAATTAAATTTTTCAGCTCATAGGATTTTCAAATAGAATTCTCTACAATGTTTTTTTATTTTTCATCATAATATATCAATCTTACCGAAAGCACAAAAATTGTTTTTTCTGTTCATTCGTATGGAAGCATCATTATTGTGCCTTCGGTGAAATTGATGCATCTCGCTCATAAAATGGCATCGACAGCTAGAAGATATTGTATTTAATAGTAAATCGTTTGATCTGTCATTCAATATAATTTAAATAGAATATTATTTGCAAATTCTAGCAGTTGAAAAACTTGTTTTATTTTCATATTTGAAAATAAAGTTCTCTACAGAAAAATTATTTAGGTTCTTATGTGCGGTTACAACAGTGGAAAAAAATTGACAATAAATCTGGATGAATAATTTTGAGAATCATTGTAACTCTCAAGGACTATGACAAGTACATGAACCCTCAGAACATCACAATTTTCTATAAAACAATCAGCCACAATTTGTTCTATAAAATCACATAAATGCTATACTAGTTTAGAATATGCCATATAATTCGATCGGATTGTTTATTTAATATTCTTTTATAGAAGCATGGACAAATTATGATCCTGGTATTATATTTTCAATTTGTTTTTGGTTAGGTTATTGTAATTCATGTTTTAATCCATTTATTTATGCATTTTCTAGTCGAGAATTTCGAAGGTAAGTAAAAAGAAAAACTTCAATTTTTGTATTTTTTTGTTTTTTCTATTTAGAGCATTTAAATCTATATTAAAATGTCAGCGTATAAAATATAAAGCATCAACAAGTTTTTTTCGTACATCTACAACAACACCAATTGATCAAATACGTTTTGGAAAATCACATAGTTGTGATATGTCAGCTGCAAATTCATTAGTAAAATCAAATTCAATAATGAGTCAACGAATATCATATGATAGTCAACATCCTTTTATTTCTTTAAAAGAAAATAAAAATTTTTTAGATCATCCACAATTATCAACATTTCGACAATTATCAAAGCCAATTATTGCAAAATCATTAGCAACATTAGATGATACAAATCCTTGGCATCTTCGAGAGTCAAATTTTGTCAGATAATTATTTTTTTTTATTTATCTTTAAAATTCAAATAAATTAATTTATTGTATTTTCGATGAAATCTATAATATTCTTTTTTTTTTTTTTTTTACTTATTTTAATTGAAAACAATGATATGAAGACAAGGAAATGTTTTGTTTTCCTTATTGTTTTATTCATCAATATTATGAATAGGATGTCTATTTGTTGTTTGAAGAGATATCTCATAACATCAAAATCTTCTTGAAATTTATTATTAGAAATATTTTCTTATTTTTACTAATATATTTCTGATAGTTTTCATATCAATGTAAAATATATTGTTCTTTTTACTAAACAGCATATCATGATAGATTATTATTGTTTACATTTAATAAAACTTCTATTTTTGTTCTTTTAGTTGATGCATATAAGTAATGGCGTTACAAGGAAAAAAAATTAGTAGGAAAGAGGAACGAAGACTTTCTGATAACGCTTTTAAAGAGAGAGAGAGAGAAAGAGAGCTTCAGTTCCTTTTATAGAACTCAGATTATGTTTGTCAAAAAAAATATAGTGAATGTATTTAAATTAAGAAAAATAAATATACGAAAATAAACAAAAACAAGCAACTAGCGATAAGCCAAACAAAAGTTAGTGAGCATTAGTAAAAACTTGTCAGTGGGCTCCCATCAGAGATTAATGTGTGGAACCCACACACTCTGACTGTTATAGATTTTTGATATACTGTCAGGAAGTTACAATATTATAAGAAATTGTTTACTTAATACATGCACTCTAGCATTTTATCATTTTGAAAATGTTTCCATTTGAAATTACTATGATTTCAATTTATTAGATTCATTTAACATCGTTATGCTGACAAAATTTATTTGTATTTTCAACTACAGTGTTGGTTATATAACTTCTTTTCTTCTAAACATCCTTTCTGTCCATGAACTTTGAAAATATACTGTGGAGTTTTGTCTACACTTGAAATTCAATTAGTCCATAGGTTTCTATGTTCGTCCTATTCTAACTCTGTTAGATTAACAGTATCATCGCCCTACAGATTGACACCTATATTGCTATATTCAATACTAAAACTCTCAATATTTAGACTAGTTGAAATCGACAATAGATTTCTTTGATTCATAGAATGCTTTATAAAATTCTAGAAATTACTAACACGTCTGTTCGCATTTCTAGGAAAACATACCCAATAATTGTTGACTTTTCTCCTTCCACCGCGATAGATATCTTAACATTTGTATCTATCAATTTAAACAGCAATCTATTATTTGAAAGATGATCCATATTTACTTCTATAGCTATTTTTAGCTTTCTCAAACACTACTATTCAAAAGAAATCTAAAATGAATTTGTTTTAAGTTATTTGGAATTTATCGATCATTAAATGAAACTACATATAGATTTTATTCAATGTATCATCTATCAAATGACTACTTGCATGCTTTTTCATTTACATCAAACGCTAAAGTCAGTCATTAGTCAACAAGTAGAAATTAATTAAAATAGATTTAAAACATATCTCACTATTTTATTCCAAATAGAACATGAAACAGATATTTTTCGTTTTTTACTCACACCCTACGACAAGCAAACAATTCACACTATTAAAAAGTCTTTTGAATTTTTACTAATATCATTTGTCTTTCAATGACTGTATTTTATAAATGAAATGGATATGAGCGTAGGTGTAATTAGGAATGAAGAGAAAATCCACACCGATATTCACAACAACATCCGTATACTTACACCCATACCCACATTCTCCATATTAACGCATAAATCTGAGAAAAACTCTGTGATTACCTGTATACACTGAACATCGCCATTAATAACAATAATATTGGAGTCAGGTCTGTTCTTGGGTGCAGATAACTTAGTAGTCATAACAAAGGTAAATCCCTAACAAAATATGGTTAATGGCGAAATAATACGTTCAAAATAACACGACAGTAATAACAACAATAAAAAGAAAGTTTTTCAAAGCGATCCATTTTATTTGTTATAAAAAGAAGAAAAAAAAATTAATGGATTATGTAAACGTCTATCGTATATATAGCATTGCTAATGAAAAGTAAATGAATTAACAAAGAAGGATATTGGGAATAGAATATGACAACTATTATACGTGAACAATACAAAAATATAATAATTCTTGTATTGAAAATATACTACGTCTAAAATGATAAAAATAAAAGCCTTGAGTATGTGTACAAGTATTAATTCCTTCGGATACGAGTATTTCAAGTATTTCGTTTAGTTCTGTACCATTGGCTGGGATTTGACTCCCATTTGAGATACACTTGTCTTTCACTTTTCAATTACTGTCAAAGTTAATCAATTTAGTTTTATTTACATTTTCGAGTATTACATTCAGACTTAAAGAAAGTTCTTGCATCCATTTTCGTACCTGTTATTGAAACTAGTGGTCTAAAACTTAAAAATTTTGTATAGTTAATGCAGTGATCATTGTTCAATGACGAAGTCGATTAATTAGTTCTTGTTTTATGAAAAATTTCATCGTACTCAATATACTTTTCTGTTCACCACATAAGTTTTCTAGATAAATTATATGTTGTCCATTCGATACATTGATTTCTATTTTCTTAACTTTGAAAAATGTTCGTGGACCAACCAATACTTCATATTCATTTTCGAAATTCGATATACATGGTAGACCATATTCAGGCAACTTGCTTAAGTTAATTGCTGTATCGCATGGTTGCGGAAAATGAAATATTAATAAAACATTTATTTTGTCGGGTGACAATGAGGCCTGAGCAGCGAAATCTTCAGCTACAGATCGAATAATAGATGTCGATGCAAACGTTGCTGTTGATATGACACTGTCCTTAGTTTTCAATGCCCACCGATATTCATTTAATTCATCATGCATCATATTAATACCCCGATAAGAGTTACCTTGAAAATGACGTTGTTTCAAATCTGAAAGACGCATAAACAATGGAAATGCTAATGGATTCGTGTTAGTCCAAAATTGTTGATAAAATGGTGTTTCCAATGAATAGAGTGTCAATAAGGATTCAATTGTACCTTGTTGAATATATTGATTAAGTAGGAAGCAACAGTGTTTATATTCAGGATGATCAGGAGTGACATATTCATCTAACAATTTTTTCAAAGTGTGACGTTCAAATCCCTCATTTGCAACATATGCTAATTCTTCATCACCATACCCACAGTCCGCTTTGCAAATTCTATGTTTCATGGATGTTTTCATGATGAATCGTCCTACTCGTGATTGAAGCATTCTTTTCACACCACTAAGACCATCTAATTGTCTTTTTATTTCTTCATTTGTCTGATACTTAGTAAGCCATTTTTTGTTTGGCTGAGCAACATCATCATCATCATCATCACGATTACCATTGTGGTCATCGTCATTACCATTATGATCATCATTATCATGGTCGTCTAATTCAGTTCTATCTGGAAATGATGAAACAATTTGAAATGTTCGTTTCCCACTGTTTGATTCATCCAAGAAACGATTTTTATTTGATGGTCGATGATAGAGTTGTCGCATTTCATCTGTTTGTGCTTCTTCATATGCTGTTAATCCATGAAGATTTTGTCGATGACGTGGACAACCATATTCATGTAGAAGTAGACGAACAATTTCTAAATGACCAAAGAATGTTGCAGTATGAAGTGGAGTACTTCCATCAGGTTCTGACTGGTTTAATCGATCATAAGGAATGGTAGGTAATATTTGTTTGACTTTATCAATATCTCCATTTCTGCATGCAAAATAAAGCTGACTTGGTTCGCCTAGTCGTGCATGTTGTCGTACTTGTTCTTCGTTATCAGCATGAGTCTTTGCAAATGATTGCAATTTTCTGTTTATTTTCTTGTCAAAAGAAGTATGTTCCATGTTTTGGCTTTGTTTTATATTGTAGTTATGGAGCAGATAAAAGTGAAGAGCTAAAAAATACAGTAAGATTTAAACTTTTTTTTAATATTTCTTTTAACATCGTATTGGTGTCAAACTATATGCAGTATTTTCGTTACTAAACTACCTCGAATATGGGCATGCATGCGTCATGTTATTTCTGGTTTGATACAAAGGTTTATTTAATATTTGATGAAATAACTACTCTCTTCTTTGATTTCTCGATGAGATATTTCAACAGATATTAAATTGAAGACGAAATGATTTATGAATAAATAAATACGCACAAACAAACTAGAGTAATTGGACTGTCCTTTCTTTTAAATTAGTCATTATTCGATAGTGAGACGAAAAAAACCAAGACAATAATAGTAATTGCTAGATACGTATGAAATTCTTTGACGTCATTACTATTGAATCATGACTAAGTTAAAACAAAAGAGAAAGAAAATAGTTCAGTTTGTTTCTTCTTATTTATTTATTTATTTATAAATCATTTGTCATCAATTTTATGCATGATAAATCATCTCATCAAGATGTGAAGCGTCACAATTTTAATAAACTCTTAAGAAGTTCTTAATATTAAATAAAATAAAACTGAAGAAGAGAATTAATTCATACCCATCTATGTAAAAAAAAACTTTCTTCAATAATCGTGAAATAGTCGACTTTTAAACGATTATTTCGTAATTATTGAAGAGATTTTTTTTATATGGGATCTGTCTCACGTTATTCATTGATATGCAATATTGCATTACTTGACTTTCGAACTTGGCAAAATAATACTCATCCAATAGGACGATATATTTAAAAAAAAAGCAATAAGCAAATATGATCGGAAAGAAAAGTCAATGAAGCGTGGATGCACGAGCAACAATAATAAAACAGCGTCTATCGCCTTCTCTTTCTCGAAGCATTCAAGGATAGGAAGTCACGTGCGAAATAATTCAAGTCCGATGTGTCACACGTATATAAATATTTCACTGAGTCATAAATGATTCATCTAACTCTTTCTAAAAAAAATGCTTTTCAAAGTTTTAAAGTATGCATATGGATGTAGGCATAAGTTTCATGCCTTCTTCGTGCAAACGCACACTCAGACAATCATACCTACAACCAATGCTCATACTCACTGCTAAAACTAGACTCTCACACGAACACTCCAGACCCAAGTTACACACCCAAACTCTAACAGATGGACACAGCTGAGTGTCCGTTTATATTTGCATGCAAATAACCTCTCCTTGATTTTCCTTTCATCTTTCCTACTTATCTTCTCTCTATGGTTCTTTCTTCTATTTATTTTGTTCTCTCTCTTAATCTCCTATGTGAGCGTGTATTGTTTGTGAACTAGTTAGATTCTGCACATATGAAGTAGCTCAATAAACATCATTAACAAGGATGGAGGTAGACTACTTCTCTAGTTTATGGTTACAGTAGTTACGATTGAAACAAAATTATCTTTGCTTCTTTGACACAGGTATACATAGGAATGACATTTCTCACTGATAATTATCATTTCGATAAAAATTTATTATTAATTTTTTTGCTGCATTTTGTTTTCTTGTTGTAGTTATAAGAGAAATTCTTTTTTTTCAATTATAATCATAATTGTAATCCAGTTAGAAATTTAATTTTCACTTTTCTCGATTGTAGCTTACGTTAGTGTAATTTCGAAAATCTCGTGCATATTCAAACTCGAATTAGATACTTACTGAAGAGCTGAAAATATAGAATGATAACGATTTTCTGAAAACAATCAAACATTGTTACTTCGACAATGTTGACTTTCGATAGTTTCATTCTTTTTTTCCAGAATTTTTTCTCATCTAGTAAAAGGCACAATAAATCTGTGATGAGAACAAAAGATGACACGATTTCTGAAAGGCTTCCTTCCACTGTATATATGTGTTTGTTCACGATCATATCAATATCGTGATATGAACAATAGTTTAAAAATAAAATTGAAAGGGTTGAACGACAATATATTGAGCATTTTGGGCTTGAGAAGGGCAGATTTTTTGCTCTCAGCGTCAAGAAAAAATATGTTATACGAGCAGGTATCGGAAACATTTCATACACAAAAATTACAGTGTACTACTGATTGTACGATAATAATTTTTAATAATTATCTATTTTCTCCACAAAATTGTATGCCTTTGATTGTGTTCAAAACTCACATTGATGATATAATCGACTGTTGAATGTTTACTAATAAATTATTTTTTGCTTCATCCATTATTACCATCTCACATGAAATGCAATGATTAAGTCGAAACAATGTTTCCATTTTATTCAGACGAATTTCTAAAGAAATCTTGTGAAAACAATCGACTAGTCAATACATTGTCAATGTATAAGTCTTTTTTGTATGATATGTATAATAGTTATATCAATATAATAATTATAAGAAGCCTTTCTTTAGCGTCTTTTGGAACGGAACTGTCACTATGAAATGTCATAATCTCTTGTGATCAGTAGTGGCGTAGCAAAAATATCATGAGTGACAAAGTAATAAGCTACTGTCTGAAAAAATGCTTCCATTTCCTATTGCCTAAAGAAAGACAAAATAATGTGTCTGTTTTGTAATTTTCAATAAGAACAAATAACTCAGAGTGCTCTCATAAATGATGTTTCATGCAAATATGTTGATAAGTTTAATTTTCATTGAAAATTCTTTCTCTTGTGGTAGTAAACTATGATTCTATTTGAGTTAGAGAGTCATCAAGTTTTGTTTCTTATAGTGTGTGAACGGAAAAAAGGCTGAATAGTACCAAATTTCGATTCTTTAGAGACCTGTTCTATTTCACAATTACAGACGTTTCTTATGTAGACAACAAGAAAAAAAGATAAAAATGCTAACAGTATTTATTCGTTTTTTCTGTGTTCTGGCGATAAGACAAAGGTTGTCGATGAAATAGGAAATACTCGACATGACTTACTTCTGACTGTGTCATTAATAATCAGAAATAATCTACGCATGTAATCCTTCTCATTGACACAAAAGGTAACAAAGTAAATAATAATTAATAGAATATGTTTACGGATCATAAGTCTGATGATGAAAACTATAAATGTGCATATTTGTATGATGATTAGAGCAATTATTATTTTTATTCTTCTGTAACATTTTTCAACATAGAAAACAGAATAAATTTATATTCTCGTTTTAGATACTGCTTTCTTTCAATATTGTATTGCTTGGATATGATTTTGCAGTGACTGTTTTTCTTGTTATGTGGGCATCACTACAAAGACATAGACTCATTTTTCATGAAAATTGGCTATTGACTCCAAAAAAACAATGGCTTCTTCATTATCTCTCATTGATTCTTTCCATTGTCTGTCAGCTTTTATTTTAACTGCTGAATTTGGTCTTAGTTATTTGTGATTATCCGTCTTCTTACGACTACACACAAGGGTGGTGTAACTGTTCTTCTTACTGTTACGATGATGTATACCTTGTTCGATATGATATATCGGCAAATTGGTTGTCTTGAACAATCGTTACTTTTCTATCTAATGTTATATTTATCATAAGAATCCTATGGCATAAACGTATTCATCTTCGCCAACCAATTCAATTTCGAAAGCATCGTAAAATTATTATACGAATATTATCAATTTCAATATTTACTTCAAGTTTATCAACACTACTTTTGATCTTTTATTTAATTCTATAGGGTGTCCAGAAAGTCACTAGAGTTAGAAAAAATTGCATATCTCTCTGCTACGGCTTGAGCAAACAGGCTGATTTTTCTATCAATAATAGAAGCATGTTCACACTTTAAATCCATACAGACAAGATTAGAGAGAGCCTTTGTTAAGTACCACCAACTACCTCAACAAAAAAAATTTCACTTTTTCACAGATAGGAAAAAAACACTATACGGAGTGGCGCAAAAGTCACTTTGCCAAAAAAAAATTGAATATCTTCACTATGGCTCGAGCAAAAGAGTTGATTCTTTTATCAATGATAGAGACATGTTCAAGCTTTATATTCATAAAGACATGCCTAGAGAGATCCTTTGTTAAGTCTATTGTTTTTTTTCTTATCTGTGAAAAAGTAAAATATTTTTTGCTGAGGTCGTTGGTGGTACTTAACAAAGGCTCTTTCTAACCTTGTCTGTATGGATTTAAAGTATGAACATGCTTCTATTATTGTTAGAAAAATCAGTCTGTTTGCTCGAGCCATAGCAAAGAGATATGTAATTTTTTCTAACTCTAGTGACTTTCTGGACACCCTATATATCGTGGAAATTTATCAATCAGTATCAATTCCAAACCACAATTTTGTCTACTCTATTTACTTTTCTCATTTCAATTTTAGGGGTGTGGGGTGTGTGGGTGGGTGTGCATGTGGGTGATCGCTCACACTCAGACCCACACTCATATCGACACCCACACGCACCCCACCCACACTCACACCCACACCCACTCACACCCTATCGTGCTGAATCCGAATATCCTATTGATTTTCCTATCAGAACAGGCTATGATGAGATAAGTTGCCAAATGTCGGCACAATTTTAACAGTTTTTCATGCTTTTCCCACTACATGGCCTTCTAATAGGGCAGATGAACTTTTGTTCAGACATGGCCTTATACAGAGGGTGGCCTTCTATTGCATGAGGGCGGTTTAATAACAGTTGTATGATTTCATTACTCGTGCTCCGGCAAACACTCTCGCTCTAGTGCGTCCAGTTTCAGCTGCAGAGAAGTTGTTCATACGTTTTACTAGCGGGAAAAAAAGAAGAATTTATTTCATCTAATTATTTGAGTCAATCACAATCAAAAAACGAATTCTGTTTATAACGATGATCATTCGTTGGCAATTCGAATAACTGCCTTTCCAAAATTCTTGCCCTGAAATATCCCGGCAACTGCTTCAGGAGCATGCTCCAATCCGTTTGTCACATCTTCCTTGATCTTGAGTTCTCCACTGAGAATCCATTGAGGAACTTTCGAATAGAAATCTTTTTGAAAAGCCGGATCGCGCACTTTATCTGTAATAATGAAGCCTTGAAGCTTGATTCGTTTAGCAACAATCTGTATAAGATTTCGAATGCCATGCGCATCTTGTTCATTGTATTGTGAAATCATGCCACATTCAATAAATCGAGCGTGATTGTCTGCTGCATTCAGCGCTGCTTCGAGTTGATTGCCACCCACATTATCGAAATAGATGTTGAGAGCATTAAATTTGGCTAGTTCTGCTTTGGGATCAGCCGTCTTATAGTTGAAAGCATGATCGAAAGCAAGTTCAGTTTTGAGCCAATCCACTTTCTCGTCCGAACCAGCTGATCCGATCACTGTCAAACCTTCACGCTTGGCTAAATCAAACTCAATAGTTAACATTTTCTACGGTCAAGTATCCAGATCGATTGAATTCGATGCAGCAAATCAAATTGGATCTTAATGATATTTTTTTCAAATTTTGTCGACCGAACTCAGCGAGATTTTCGTTGCGATTTGAGAAACCCTCTGAATTTCATTTCAAAGGCGACTTGAGTCGATCATTTCTAGAGATTCTTTATTTTCGACCTCAGCGTCTGAATCTAAGTAGAACTGTTTTCAGTTGCCCAAGAAAAGTTTGAGGCACCTCAATTTTCCTACCAGAAATATCGCTCCCAGATCAGAGATTCAACGGTTCTGACGGAGAAATGTTTTTCAATTGCTAGGCTTTTTTTGCGAGTAAAATTTCATCACAGACCTAGATCTCAGATGAGAAAATATTTTATAGGGCGTAATGAATATCAGTTGTAAGATCTGAAATTAATTTGAAAATAGTTTTATATTCCGACTTGTTCTCACCATTCATATTCTAACAAACGATACAATACGAGAAATGGTTTTAACTTCGATTGTTCTCATTAATCAACTCACCGAGTTGTCCGACAATTTGCCCGACAGCTCCTGAAGCTCCCGTAATGAAGATTGTATCGCCCTTTTTCGGTTCTCCAATGTGATAGAAACCATAGAAGGCGGTTTGTCCAGGCATTCCAACAGCTCCGACCCATGTTGTCAGAGGTAAACCGAGCTTGAGTTCTTCGTCGGTGAGAATACGAAGTACTTCGGCTTGAGCTTTCGGATGAATTGTGTATTCTTCATAGCCTCCAAATCCATTGACGATTTGATCGACTTTGTATTTGTCATTATCCGATTTCACGACTTTACCGACAAAAAAATTGACCAACGGTTTGCCGAGTTCAAACAGAGATATATAGCTTGGCGTTCCAGGTGGTCGCATTCGACCTCGCATGTATGGATCAATTGAAATGATAAGGTTCTTCGTGACGACGCCACCTTGTGTATCGACAGTATCGATGTCGATTGTTCGATCTGTGACATATTTGAGGTGTTTATCGGCCTCCGGATAACCAGTGGGAACTTCAGCGAAGATGACAGCAGCATTTCGAATGGGAGCCATGATTTGAATGAAGCGATAGCTCGAATATGTGTCGTGCAATGCGCGAAAAGAACGTCGAACCCTCTGCTATATAACAAAGAAGAAACGCTTAGTCATAGTGAATAGAAAGAAAAACACAGCTTGCCCTCTTCTGTTGTCTGACAGACGAATGCCGTGTACACCACGTACTGTTTGTGTGGCAAGCAAGCAAAAAATAATCTTCTCCATTCTCTAGATTACGCAGCGAAAGCAATAACAAGTTGTTTTTCAAGGTATTTTCATACCGCTTCCTATCTTTTTTTTTGCGACATGTCTACTGAATGGATACTGATACTGAAACTGAAACTCATATAAATTTTGCTTCACTTGAATCGTTGTACTGCTGTGCAGAAATCTTTCGTTTTCAGCTGTCAATGCTGAAGCATGTGATCAATTTGGTGTCATGCTATAGCACGTCCAGCAAGATTTTCTTTTTACGTTGGACGATGTGTTACCAAGATGCCGTTATCTGAATTCGCGCAACTAGACGCCAACCATATTTCATTCGAAGGGTGTGGGTGGGTGTGGGTGTGAGGCTTCTCTTCATTGACACCAATACCCACACCCGCATCCACACCCTTAAGTCTTGACTTCGGTGGAGAATTTAAAATTTTGACTTATTCCGTTGACAGTTAATCATAACCAATTGAACAATTCTCTTTCGATGTAAAGATTCGTGTTGATGTAATTAGTTTGGTGACTATAAATTTAGGATCAAATTTCATTATGTGAAAAATCAACGGGTAATTAGAACACGATTGATGATGAGGTGACTGAATTGGCAAGTTAAACATTGACCAATTTTGAAAATATCTCAAGAATGTCTTATATACTGTATTTTTCAAGCAAAACACAATGGAAACATAGCATTCGATATTTCATTGGAAATATCAAAATATGAATTGAATAATTTTTAATCGACTTTATTGCAATAAAAGTATTTGTTAGAACAATGATAATCGATTGTTAAGATGTGGGTACGACCGTATCAATTTCACGAATACAAGAAATAGCATCAAAGATTTTCGAAAGATAAGGATACGATTGTTCAGACAATATACTCAAAATTCGAAATTGAGTTATTTTTTAAAAACAATCCTCTCAATTTTTCCATGGGACATTCGAATTCACAATGAAGAATTGAGACAGAGAATTTTTAGTTCCACAAGTTTTTGATGAAGTAATGCTCGTTCATTGAACATTCGTCAAATGTTTCGTTCAAAGTTCCTTAAACACTATCGTCCACATCAGATTCCAATTTTATTTGACATATTCGTAGAATGAACATTTTTGTTTCGATCTTTCAAGTTTTAAGATATCAGCTCGTTATTCCATCGACAACTCTTTTCGAGAAGAAATTTTTCTAGACGAAGAAATATCATCACAAACGTTTCGACTTTTTCTCTTCAATATGACAAATCAGTTTCAAAAATTTTTTGAAAAAAGACAAGACTGAAATGGTTAGGGTGTGAGTGTGGGTGGCTGGTGTGTGGGTGTGGGTGGCTGGTGTGTGGGTGTG